CCAGATACTACCAACACAACTTTCTACATGGATGGGCACATGGGCTATGTGAGTGGCTTTGGTGTGGAAAAAAACTTTATTTCAAATCATTTGAAGTATGTGAACTTGCCAGCGGTTGCGCGGGAGAAGTGTCAGAGATGGCTAGATAGTTTGAACAGAGAAACACCTATGGTTTTCTCTGAGAACATGTTCTGTGCTGGCTCCCTCACAGTCAAAAAGGATACCTGCCAGGGGGACAGTGGGAGTGTCTTCACAGTGCTAGATACCGCGAGTGGTCACTGGGTGGCTACAGGTATTGTTTCTTGGGGTATTGGCTGTGCCCAAGGTTATGGCTTTTACACCAAGATCCTCAACTATTTGGACTGGATCAAAGAGATAATAAGGGAGGATAGGCTCTAAATGTCGCTGTCCTATTAGCTAAGAATAACTGATATCATAGGTTTCCAGACACAGCAAACCCTGTCTGAAGCTCTTGATGATGTCATAAAGGCTTTTCAAACACACAAACCGTGTCAGCTTCATCACGAACACTTCTGAAAGCCACTACATTGTTTGATGAATTCTTGGTGACATCATCAAAACTTGCCAAAGCTGCTGTCCCATTGGCTAAAGCCTTTGCGGACATTCTAATGATTTCAAATGCAATCTTACTATTGGATGAAGTCTTAATAGTATCAGCAAATCTCATGGCATCCAACATGGTATTGTCTGAAGTGCTGATGGTATCATAAGGCTACTGTAGTCTACTTCCCTGTTGCGTGAGCAATACAGCAGATCTTCTTGAAGGATTTACTACTTCGTGCTGAGTACAGTGTATATATGCCTATGGGCATCAGTGAGATTCAATCAATATTAAAATCATTGCTACAGAAACCAGATGTGTTATGTTCTTCTGTCTCTATTTTTAATAGCTACTAAATATTTCCCACCACCAAAAGCAACTTACAGACTGCATCTATATAGGGATTGCTTTACCTACCACTAAAGTGTTTCCTGGTCTACAATTGCCATGTGACAGTTGCTCAATGGCCACAAAATTACCATTCCATTAGAAAGATTAACCACTCTGAAACTCTAGATGGCTTCAAGGGGTGGGGGCAAAAATAAATTGTCTGTGAGAAGCCACTTCCAAAAAACAAGGAAGAGGTCTTCCTCTGAAGACCAGGGGAAGGTCTGGAGAAACGAAGACTTTCTCTTGCTGTAGGAGGATTAGGTTAGGGAATACTTAGGCAACCTGGACATACACAGGTCCACGGGCCCTGATGGGATACCCCCACGAGTGCTGAGGGAGCTGGCAGACATCATTGCAACGCCACTCTCAATCATCTTTGAAAGACTGTGGCAATCAGGAGAGGTACCTGAGGACCAGAAGAAATCAAATGTCTGTCATTCCAATTTCCAAAGGGGTAAAAAGGAAGACCAAGGGAACTACAGACTGGTCAGCCTCACTTCGATCCCTGGAGGGAAGGTGACAGAGCAACTAAGCCTAGATACCATTTCCTAACACATAAAGGACAAGAAGGTGATTTGGAGTAGTTAGCCTGGTTTTACAAAGGGGAAATCAGAGTTAACTGACTTGATAGCCTTCTATGACGAAACAACTGGCTGGGTAGATGAGGGGAGAGCAGTGGATGTTGTCTACCTTGGCTTTTGACACGGTCTCCTATAACATACTCACTGGCAAGCTGATGAAGTGCAGGCTAGATGAGCAGAGAGTGAGTGGATTGAGAACTGGCTGAATAGCCAAGGTCAGATGGTTGCGAACAGTGACACAGAGTCTAGTTGGAGGCCAGCAACTAGTGGTGTATTCCAGGGGTCAATAATGGGTTCAATGCTGTTCAACGTATTCATCAGTGACCTGGACGAAGGGACAGAGTGCACCCTCAGCAGGCTGGCTGGGGATACAAAACTGGGAGGAGTGGCTGACACACCAGAAGGCTGTGCGGCCATTCAGAGGGACCTGGACAGGCTGGAGAGATGGGAAGACAGGAACCTCCTGAAGTTCAACAAAGGCAAGTGCCAAGTCCTGCACCTAGGGAGGAAGAACCCCTCTAATGCACCAGGACAAGCTGAGGGGCTGACCTACTGGAAAGCAGCTCTGCAGAGAAGGACCCGGGAGACCTGGTGGACAACAAGTCGACCATGAGCCAGCAATGTGCCCTGGTGGCCAAGAAGGCCAATGGCATCCTGCACTGCATTAGGAAGAGTGTTGTCAGCAGGTTGAGGGAGGTGATCCTTCCCCTCTACTCAGCCTAGTGAGGTCTGGAGTACTGTGTCCAGTTCTGGGCTCCTCAGTACAAGAGACAGATGGAGCTACTGGAGCATGTCCAGTAAAGAGCCACTAAGACGATTAAGCAATTGGAGCATCTCTCATATGAGGAAAGGCTGAGAGAGCTGGAGTTGTTTATCCTTAGAGAAAGAAGACAAGTGAAAGCTCTGAGGGGCGATCTGATCAATGTGTAAAAATATCTGAAGGGAGGGTGTCAAGAGAATGGAGCTATCTCAGTGGCGCTCAGTGACAGAACAAGAGGCAATGGGAAGAAACTGAAACACAGAAAGTTCCATGTGAACATAAGGAAAAACTTCTTAACTGTGAGGGTGACTGAGCACTGGAACAGGCTGCCCAGAGAGGTTATGGAGTCTTGTCATAGTAGAACCCTTAAGAGATTGAAAGTTATGTTTTGGATCTGCTAGAAAGGTTTTATTTGTGGTTTGTATGTCCTGTCAATCATGCTGTCCTTTGTGTGACCCTTAGTTAGGTGGCCCTTGTGTCCCACCCTTATATGTCAAGTCATTGGTGGGGAGTGATTGTCAGTCATGGGGAACATTCTGGAAGGGGAGCGGGCCTAGGCACTGGTCCACATGCTGCTGAGGGATCCAGAATGCACCAATAGGAACACAGATCCAGACCAATCCACAGTGACCAATCCACTGCACACCAATGTCAGTGTCTTAATGCCTGCGGTCACAACGCGGTCCATCTATAAAGAGCCATGTGCCCATACGTTGAGGGGGGCTTTTCCTCGTTGACGACCCAGGAAAGAAGAAGAAGAGCTGAAATCATGAAGACCAGCATCGGGAGGAAGAAACCCTGGCGGTCTTTTCCAAGGCTTGAAGAAGCCAAGGGCATATTCCCCAGTTGAGGGCAGCTCTGCCGGAGGCTGTGGGACAGCCAGCGGAACAGGTCCACCACCAACGCTACGCTTCAGGGACGTGCCACACGTGTCATCAGGGATTCATGATCCAAACTTACTGCGGACAGGTGAGTTAACCCTGTAAGGGTGAAGCGGCACACCCTTTCTGATGTGGCCTGCTTAATCATAGGGCCTCTGGCCATGAGGCAGCACACTCCCCCCCCCCCCCCTTTGGGGTGTGGCCCACTTAAAGATTAAGAGCTTCACGGTGGGCGGCAGCTCCCTCTGTGGAGGGTGGCCTGCTTAGAGTACAGGTCCCTGGACCTGGAAGCGGTGCTCCCCTCTCCAGGTGTGGCCTGCGTAACCCTTTCCCCCGCCACCACCTTACCACTTTCATGCATATTCGTTGATTGTCTTCTAAACTCAAATGTGTGTGTGTGTGTATGTGTATGTATAAATATATAATCATTTCTGCTTACTTTTATACTGAAGCTTCAGGTATACCATTGTAAATAAGTTAATACCTTGTGGTTATTGTACATTGTTATCGATATTATTATAGTTGTCATCGTTACCGTTCATTAACTCATTAAACTTTGTTACTTACCTGTTAACCACTACAATTGTAAACTCATTCGTAAGGAGTAGGGACACCTATACAACCATCCGAACCTGTTTAGTGTACGGAGCCCGCTGAATTACCTTACCAGGGCAAAATGACTGTCAACTGGTTCGATCGTTGTGTGGAGGCCTCCCGGCACAAATCTCCACCCTTGGAGATATTCAAAACCTAACTGGACATGATTCTAGGCAAGGCACTCTAGGTGACCCTGCTTGAGCAGGGCTAGATGACCTCCAGAGATTCTCAGCCATTCTGATTCTGTGAAATATAAAAACTATTCAAAATCCAGCAGGTCACAGTTCCTCAGGAATGTAGCATATAGTTACTAGGAACTGAAAGTCCTTGAGCTGAATGCAGGAATCTATATGAGGTCTCCCAACTGCTACACTGATACTCCTCATTGTTTTATAGACTCACAGAAAAATTTAGGCTGGAAGAGCCTCTGATGACCAGCAGGACTAACTTCAAGCTTCAGGACCTCCTAGGCAAGTTCTGATGACCTCCAAGGATGGAGACTACCCAGCCTTTTGGGGCACCTGTTCCAGTGCTGAAACATCCCCAGAGGGAAGAAAATCCTTATGTCCAACTGGAAATTCCCTTACTGCAATTTGTGCCTGTTATCTCTTGTCCTTCTGCTGTTCACCTCTTCAAAGACTGGCTCTGTCTTCCCTCTAAGCGTTCTTTAGGGAGTTGAAGACAGCAGTAAGATCCCCCATTAGACTTCTCCTTTTTAAGCTGAACAAATGCAGCTCCCTCAGCCTTTCTTCATATACCATCTGCATCAGTTCCCTGACCATCTTAGCAGAAAGATATCTATGAGGAATTCAGCACTCGAAGTAGCATTCTGGAGCAGAAGACACCCCTAAATCATGTCAAGTCATCTTCTCCCATAACACTGCCTTCCCTGATTCAAGTAACCTTTATTTCTTATCCAACACAATAAAGTCTGAAAAATAAAGCCCTGAGGGCAGATGAATGTGAGAAGTTTGAAGATGTCTCTTCTGCTCAGCTTAATCCAGAAGTCTGAGATCCTTATTGCTGGTAAAAGTTGGTCACTGAGACTCAGCCAGCTCAGAAGAACCTCAAAAAATGTTCCTAGGTAGAGAGGTGAGGTACTACAAGTTACAGCTTGACAAAAGCCTTGGAGCTGGCAGCACAGTGGGTCATTACGTGACTGGACAATTGATTAGGGAGTCTCAAGGAGAACCAGGTCTAGTCTGAGAAGAAAGGCAATTTGCACATGATAAGCAGATGTGGACATTCTTTAATGCTGTTAAGATATTCTGAATGATACAAGAAATACAGAAGCCAGGCTCTGAACCTATCCTGGGAATCAACAATTATTCTCTCTTGTCTTCATTGACATGTCTCTGTCAGGTGGAGCATGACTAGCTTTTCTCTAAGTGGGAAAAGATGGGATAGAAAAAATGAGAGGAAGCAGAAGGGGCCTCTTTATTTAGAATGGTATCTTCCTCTTTTGCTGCTATGAGTGGAGGAAGAAAGATAAATTCCATTCCCAGACACGACGACAGTGGGAGAGACTGATTCCTGACTCTCCACTCAGCACAGAGATAAATCACCTTGTTGGCTTGTTATACACAAAAAGTGAAAAGGATCTCAGTCAACCTTCCTATCTTAACATGTGACCCTCACATTTAGGAAGAGTGACAGTGCTTAATGGAGAACGAGCTAATCCTGCGATGTTTCTGCTTCCTCATGCTTGCTCATTGTCTCTGTAATCCAGTCCAAATAACGCACTACTTTGGTGTAAAGACCAAAGGTACCACATCTTGGTCCCCAGGAGATCAGCCCAGCCACATAGTACCGGCTCTCATCAAGGGGATCTTGGATGGCATAAGCTCCACCACTGTCCCCCTTACAGCTGTCCTTGCCACCACCAGCACAGATCATATTGTCAGTGAATCGGTAAGCACTGGAATCAGCAGAGCCCTCTGGCTTAACAGAACGGCACTCATCCATGCCCACCACCGGAATCTGGGCCTTCCAAAGATAAATAGGCAATCTTCCTTTCTCTCTCTGGCCCCAGCCAGCAATATAGCCCAGAGTCCCTTCTTGCAGCTCATATTCAGGTGATTTACCAGGGAGACAGAGGGGCGAGATGTTTGGGCCCATCTTCACAGGTTCCGTCAGCTTCAGTAGTGCAATGTCATTGTCAAAATCAGTCCTAGTTTCTGCGGGCTGCTTTTTCCAATCAGGATGGATGAATGAAGTCTCTGGAACCAGCAGTTTGGCCTCCCGGAGCAAAGATTGTCCACCAACATTGATTACACCAGCATACATGGTGGGCTTGTCATATCCCTCCAGCACATGAGCTGCAGTCATTACCCATCTTTCAGAGATGAGCACCCCACCTCCTCGTGGGTATTCAAAATAGACCTGCCAGGGAAAGTTTCCCTTTTCTGCACGGGTTCCTCCAAAAATCTTTGCTGTCTCCTGGATGGGTTTACTGGGCACCCCACAGACTAGGAAGGAAAGAAAAAAGAAAGAACCAGATGGGAGAATTAGCAATTACAAGTAGAAAGTTCTCTGATGCTACTAAAAAGCCCACAGTCCCCTCCTTCCTGTCTCCTCTAAATCTTTTTCAGCTAAGTAATTTATATTCTGTGTCCCACAGTTTGCCGCTGAAGTTTACAGAAAAGTTCAAGAAAAATCAAGCAGAAATACTGTCAATATTCAATATAGGCTGAGAATACCCACTCTCAAATCTTGTTCTGGAAAGAAAGCAGAACATTCACAACTGCTGTCACCCAGCTAGCACTGCATATGCCAAAGCTCACAGCTTCATCCTGTTCTACTTAGCATGTCTGCTTTGTTGGATATGGGATTGTCTTTCAAAGAACATTTGCTTAAGTTCTTAGAAATTTGACACTAGTATCTAAAAACATTTCTATCTGAACTCCAGACCATCTCAGGTTAAGTGTTCCGGTTTGTATTTATTTGTCATTTGAAGTTTTACCAATTGTCCTCCCCATTCTTTCAGTATGTAGAATCAAGCAGTGGGATAACGAAGATCTTATCTGTGAGTCTCACAGGTGCAGAGATGCTGTATGACCTTTGAGTAAAAACGTTCTATAAGGTTTTGCAGAGTGAGAACGTAAGGGCAAAAATTAGGCTGGTCATTCTGACATAACTAGGAAATTGATTTCTTTTCACATTGCTTGGTTTGCACTGAACCCCTAGTCATATAGGCCAGAGATTAAAGAACTATAGCTAAAGGAGGTAGTCCCTGTTAAATAATTTCATGGAATAATAAAAAGATGTAGGCTGGAAGAGACCTGTGGCTGTCTCCAGTCATCCCTATCTGCCCTTCCCCCGCCCTCCTAAATGCAAAGCTAGATCAGTTTGCTCAGGGCCTTGTCCAGGTGACTTCTGAGCATCTGCAAGGGTGGTGACTCCTCAGCCTCCCTGGCCACCTGTTCCAGTGCTCTGGAGGAACATTTTTCCTTAAATATAGTCAGAATTTCCTTTTTGCAACTTGTGTCCATTGCCTTTTATCCTTTGGCTGCATCCTTCTGAGAAGAGTCTGGCTTTATCTTCTTTATAACTCCCCATAAGGTATTAAATTCCCATAGCTTCATCTTTCTATTTGCTTTCTGATGGTTTTGTGCACTGGTGTAGTCCAAGTCACTGGCTGGGCTGGCCTTTGAGAGAGCTGAATCATCCTCAGCTGGGTCTTGTACTCCAAAATGCCAATGAGGAATTGGGAGTTTGGAGTACTGAACAAGCATAGTGTACCATTAGCCCTAGGGATGCTGCCTCCTAAGAGTGGAGTGGTAAGCCAAACAGCCTGCAAAATACATAAGATTTATATTTCTATGTATCAGCTGGAAATTAAGATTCAGCCAGAACTACTTGCAGCCAGGAGCAGGAGTAGTACCCACCCACGTCCCTTCTCAGTGCCCACTAAGTACACACAGTGAAGAGGCGATTAGAAGGTTCTGAAGATGGATATTCCTTGAGTTGCCAGACCCAGTAAGTGTGGCTGAATACTGCAGGCCACATGCTCCTT